AATATTAAGATACTAGATGTTATACTTTTAGGTCACTTGGACACTGTATAATGCATGTGTATTGGAATCAGGAAACTAGGTCAAACTAAAGACAGGAACACGGACACTCAAACTAAATGAAAACAGAACATAATCCTGACAGTATGTTGTTCAACCGTATCTAGCTTCACTTCCTGTCCAAATGACTTCAGCCTATATACACATAATGCAGCATTATGATTTCCTGAAATGCTCAAACACACACACTTACATGCAGATATATGCCTGCAAATGGAGAGCTTCTCATAACGGGATTGTGTAGGTATCATTCTTTCTTAAGAATCAATTTATCTTGTTTTGTGTTCCTTCATCTCCCAAATGATTGAAAATACTTCTTCGTAAATATTTCCTCTTTTAAATGGTGAATAATGTTTTATCCTGATAGGAAAAGCCTTTCCTTTTCAAATCTTGAATAAACCTGTTCTGTGGTATGAATGTACTAAAGCACATTCAAACTTATTAAAACATACTACAGTACACACACATGCATACTTGATTGAAAAACACTGTTCATGCTAGCACAAAAAGGAAATATGCACGCGCACAAACACACAACCATCTTTAACAGCATGTGTCAACAATTAATGGATGGCATTAGTGGGTATTTGATTGAAATGACATTTAGCAGGTCTGCCAAGAGGTTAATGGAGAAGAAAAAATATTTTAGTAGAAAGAAAGATGGACATACAAAAGTTAGAATTGACAAATTAACAGGTTTTTACTGCAGAATTTTTAACAGTTTCTTCTGTGAAAATTACAAACACTTTGAGAGTGTAGTTTTGAACAACCTAAGGGTGAGAAAATTATGACATTTTTATTTTTGGGTGACTTGCTCCTTTAATTCTGCTGACTGCAGGATGTAGGAGGATATTCAGTATGTGTATGTTTGCACACATGTTTGTGCATGTGTGTAGATAGAAGTGTTTCCTTTTTACCATCTCACCTGGCTGTATTTGAAATCAGCTGTTTGAAGCCAGCAGAGACAAAGTGAGGGGAAGATAAAAGCGAATCTCTCCCTTTAACTACAGAGAGAAACTTTACTAGAGCACCGTTCAGTGCAGCAGACTGTTGAATGGGCGGCACCCCTCTGAGCAGAAATTTGATGCATTTATACCCTTGATAGAATATAAAATAGACCATATCTCACTAAAAGGCATGAACAAAGATATACGATTGACACTGCAGCTCTGATGATAATGATGATGAGGAGCATGCAGCTGATAGCTGTGTTGCTAATCAGGCTCCAGCTGAACTAGGTTAAGTGCCACTATCCGTGTCTGATGTAACCAAACCCCACATTGACCCATCTCCATAGTTACCCAGCACATGCACAGAGGGGTTTTGACTGAAGTGGAAAAGAGATAAAAAGGAAAACAATGACGTTAACTGAGGACAGGCAATGCAAATCTGGAAATGGTCTACTCGTGTGTCAGTAGAGTCCCTTTATTCAGGGCTTAAATTCATAAAATAAACAGGTTGAGTTTCATGTTTTGATACTTAGCATGGTGAGTGAGATGTTTTAAAAGGAATAGTTCGCCCAAAAATGAAAATTTGCTGAAAATTGACACCCTCAGACCAACCAAGATGTAGATGAGTTTGTTTCTTCATTAGAACAGATTTGGAGGAATTTAGCATAACATCACTCACCAATGGATCCTCTGCAGTGAATGGGTGCCGTCAGAATGAGAGTCCAAACAGCTGATAAAAACATCACAATAATACACACGCCTCCAGTCTATCAGTTAACATCCTGTGAAGTGACAATCAGTTTTTTTAATAAACAAATTCCTCATTAAGATTGAAGTTTTGAAGTTTGAAACTTCAAACCGTTGCTTCCTGCTAAAATATGAATCCTCTATCCATAATATTGCTTTCTCCAGTGAAAAACTCGTCTTGTCTAAATCAAGAGAGAAATATGCACAGATCAAGCACCTTTTCAAGAGAAAACAGTCCAAAACAGTTGTAAATAAATATGTTGGTGGATTTTGATGTGAGGACAACAGCAGATGGACTTTTTCACTGGAGGAAGCATTAATTATGGATTATGGATAGACGTGATAGATTAAGTTAAAACGCCTTCTAATAAACAAATCCATCGTTAATGATTGATTTGTTTATTAGAAACACGCAGCTTTTCACTTCACATGATGTTAACTAATGGACTTCAGTCGCGTGGATTACTTGTGGATTATTGTGTTGTTTTTAATCAGCTGTTTGGACTCTTTCTGACGGCACCCATTCACTGCAGAGGATCCATTGGTGAGCAAGTGATGTAATGATAAATCTGTTCTGAGTAACACATTTTTAGCAAATAAATTTCAGCATAAATTTTCAGCACATTTTTTTTTTTTGTTTAAATTAAATTTTTTACATTTCTTTATTATTGAAGATGAAATCAGTGCAAGTAGAGTGCATAATCATGTTGTCATGGGATTTCTGGATCAGTGGGCAGACAATGGCAGTCACATGCTGTGGACTGAACTTGAGTCATCAGGGTCATGTTAATCACAGAGAGGTCATCGAGCTCCATGGGCAACTTAATCTCTTCATACCCTTTATCTTTAGGACTCAATGCTCTTATACACAAGGACACTGTGGTCAGCTGAATTCTGAACTCACTCGTACATAATCATCTTATTTCTGGAATTATTGTGATTTCACTTAAAATACCAGCCTTCCTCCTAATGCCTTGTTTGTGTGTTGTGTTTTTACACTGGACTCAGAAATTGCTAGTAAATTTCACAAATGATTACAAAGAAATAGCAACACATTGAATTTAACATGAAATTTTAAAGTAGAAAGACCAAAATAGTATTTTTTTTTCTAGCAAAACATACTCCAATAATATTTGTTTTATTTATAACTACAACCTGATTTGAGCTCTGTGATTGACATCAAATGAAAATGCTCCTCCAAAACAAAATTCCCATTATTCCTTAATGGGGATATTGAGCAGAGAAGAGAACTTGCTGTGTGGGATTGTAAACTACACAAAACAATGCAATAATAGTTTCTAATGAAGCATTTCTGTGAGCTAAATGGTGTAAATATGAATAGATTAAACAAAGGAGAACACAAACTCAGCAATTATCTAATATTAATCTTTATTTAAACTTACCAAATAAACGAATAAACAAAAAATGTGTACATATTAAGACCAAGTGTAATATCAAAATATCAATTCATTTTTGCAATGTTTAATGATGAAATCGAGGCATCAATCTTAAACAGAAATCTTAATAAAATCAAATCAAATAAAAAAAAATATTATAAGGGTTTTTCAGATGTATCTCCTAGTTATTTCCAGATTTCCAGTTATTTAATTAAAAAGGACTAAAAGTCACAACTGTCAATGCATGCCATTAAAAAAATATTGATGGAGAAACCTTATGATAGTGATGGGAAGTGTTTTTAAGGCGAACACAAGACTTTAGTTACAGGATTATGAAAATAATACAGTAGACAAAATATAGACTATAAACATTGATGCACATCAAAGCAGTTTCACTATGGGGGTTTAGATATTAAGAAAATATGATGAGTGTAATGTATATTGTGAAGTGATTTAAGAATCACATCAATATTACTACAATATCTGAACTATTACTGTTAAAGTAGATATTATGTGAAAATGTACATGAAAATTGAAGTGACTTATGCCTGTACGTGCAATGCTTGCAGTCACAATATCAGAGTTGGCCTTCCCAGTATTTCCCAGCATGATTTGGTTTATCATTCATGCCTGTTGTACGGTTCAAACAAGTTTTATAATACTCAAGGATAGGTGTCTGTTTAAATTCCTAACCCTAAAAAAAAGAAAATAGTAATAGTACACAATGCTTGTCTTAGCAGACACGACTAATTATAGCCAGAGGTTGAATTAAGCTGTCTAATAGGCAGTCTCTGTTTGTAGTCCAGTGCGGGACTCTAGCAGTTGTGCTTTGAAAATATTGTGTGTGTGCACAAACGCCTCTAATAATTTCAAGTCTGCAGAAAATCAGATAGGGCTTGGAGATATAAGGAAGTCCTTGTCTTCAGGCTGACTGACAGGCAGACATGTTTGAAGTTCTGCAGCAGTTATTCCTCACAAGCCTCAGCCAGATGGTGAGGAGAGAGGATGGAGTCTCCTCGCATAAAGTTTTCAGCCGCCGAGCGTGTAATGAATCATTTTCACATGAATGCAAGATTCACAGTGGTCACTGCAATCTTTTTAGAATATGCATTCACAGGCTTCTGTGATACATCAAAGTGGAGGGCATAATAACAAATCAATACATCTCTCACTAGATTGGACATGGATATGCAAAGTGTCCAAAAACTATTTTGTATCACTTTGTGAACTTATAGCTACTTCTCACACATTAAATTAGTTAAATCAATATTTTGCATCCATTTATTTGATAAGTAGCCAAGTATTAAGTGAACTAATACAGTCAGCTGGTCAATAAAGCTAAATAATAGAGCAATACTAGCTAACTGACAGTACATTTCTTACTTGAGATCCAGGAACTGTGTTTTTTATACATATGTTTTGAACAATATTCTGTACATTCATATTTTTTAAACTGCTCATACAGTTCGTTTTTGTTGTGTCATCCAAATTCTACACATTTTCAGTATATTCTCAGACATAAATGTAGAGGATACTGTACATTGATGCAGCAGTTTTATAACCAGAATTTCTGCATCAGGAAAAACAAACTAGGCCTTCAAGTCTGAAGGCAATGTAAGACTGTTAAAGCCACTTTCCACAGATAAAATGTATCAAGAGTTTGATCTTAAAAAGTACAAAAGACTTTCAAGTGTCTTTTTAAAGCCATGAATGTGTTATGAAAAGTGCTCAGATGTAGCATTGTGAGCTCTGTTCTTATTCACACCTGCCTGCCAGACTGGCTGCTTGTGTTGCGTGTCAGTTTTGAAGTGAGAAGATTTTGTGAGAACCAAGACTTCTGAAAATGATAGACTTGTGACAACGTATTTATTAAATTTCAGTTACGCTCAGCTGCCCCTGATGTTTCCAGGCTGCTGCACTTGACTTCATCTGAAGGGAGAAAATGCATGCAAGTCATTTCTAAATGAACTTCTCTAAACTGAAACACATATAAGCAGACTTCAGGAAGCATATATTTATTTGTTCCTCTTTAGATCATTGCACACTGTAGTGTGGTACACCAAATACACAAAATAATGATCTTTAAAATAGCATCATATGACCCCTTTAATACCAATAATGAGAGAAAAAAATGCATTTTTTCTGAATTATTCTCTTACACACCTGTACTCTGGCTGTGTGATTTCTGGGTTTGTGAAGCGGACATGGGTGTTTGTGTTTGGCCTGAAGGGTCTGTGCTTCTCAGATCATCGGGGGGCCAACGTAACTCTCCGCTCTCCACCTCTCCCTCTGTGGGCTCCACTACGATGGAGGGCAAACGCTTGAACACCTTGGGGTGGCGCTCCTGTGTGTCTGGGAAAATCTGAAAATAGATGATGATAGATTTGATCTGTTAGAGAGATGCTGAATGTTCCACTTACAGTAAGTTTACTGGCTTAAAGGAATAGTTGAGCCTGATACTGTAAATCTGTTACCACATTTTGGTCAAAACTTGTATGACTTTCTTTTTTCCGTGGAACACAAAAGGGAGTTTTTGAAGAATAACTTGACTGTTTTTTGATATAATGAAAGATACCAACCTGAAATGAAACAGCTTGCTCTCCGGTGTCACTCACAGTGAAGTCTTTTCGACTATGTTCTGGGTTGTTCATTATATCTGTCATTCTAATAGGAAAATAAAACATAAATCAGCCTGAAATTCATCTAAACTACACAGCATTCTACATACAAATAAAGGCCTGTTGATTAATGAAATGCAAAGGTTAAAGTATCTGTGGCAATCAAAAATTATATAGAAACTTAAAAGAAAGCCTAAACTAGAGTTTAAAAGTTTGGGGTTGTTAAAACAATGTGTTTGAAGTCTCTTATGCTCACCAAGACTGCACTTATTTGATCAAAAATACAAGAAAGACATTAATATTGTGAAATATTATTACAATTTAAAATAACTTATTTCTACTTGAATATATTCTAAAATGTAATTTATTCCTGTGATGCAAAACTGAATTTTTAGCATCATTACCCCAGTCTTCAGTGTTTCATGATCCTTCATCGTTCTTATATGCCACTTCTGATCAATTTAATGCAACCTTGCAGAATAAAAGTAAAATCTTACTGACCCTGCTACTTGAACAGTAGTGTATATGTTGTTCGAAACTTTGTATCATAATGAGAACTTTCAGATCATAACACTAGCACACAAATACATAAGCTTGAGCAATACTTAAGGAATAGTTCGCCTCAATACTAACATTATGACGTCATTTCAATCCAGTCTAATTTTCTTCCATGAAACATAAAAGCTAAATTTTTTTTGATTATCATGATTAAAACATTAATGGTGTTTGTCATCAAAAATGTAATTTCTAAATTAAGTGAGGGGAAAATGATCAATGAATAACAATGAATAATTTATAAAAATAATTACCATTTTTATCCATATGACTCTTGTACTATAAATGTTTCCATGGCTTCAGACAATTTGTCATATGGGACTACTTTTATGGTGCTTTTTCGTCCTAGTTACAGCTTGGCAGTATAAATTACCATCCACCTTTTCTTTTATGGAAAACAGCCACCCAGATATTCTACCAAACATCTAATTTTGTGTTTCACAGAAAAAGAAAAACGCAGGGTGGAAACAGGTGAGTAAATAATGACACAATTTTCATTGTGCCTAAACTATTCCTTTAACAAAAAAAGACACTTTGATCTAAATCCGTGCTCCAACAAGTCAGTTGCAGCATTTGCGTGTTTGTTCAGTCCGTGATCCCTAAAAAAAATCCCTTCCTGTCTCCCTTTCAGACTGTCATGGTTTTAACAGCATGCACACAACCAAACACACCACCTAAACTTTGCTCCAGGCTGCAGTGTGATAGGGACAACACTGGTGTCTGCATGTGGGTATGCAAATATGAAGCATGGTAAAATAATAAAACAGGCCTCCATCATACTCATTCAGCTGATGGTGGTCTGAAGGACTCGACCCTGTTTGCAGTCTGTTGAACAGACAGAAGTCATAGTCGAATGCTGACGGATAATAAAACTGTGAACACATAAGCCGACACACTAGTACACCCACGCTCACGCACACTCACAAATTCTGTTCAATTATTCAACAGTTAAAGGCTGGATAGACAAAGACCTACAAAAAAACTATTCACGTTATTTTGACAACGAGTCCCAAATTGATCAAATTGCTCTGGCTAAGGGTAGTGCCCAGAGTTGTTATCATTAACTTAAAATAGTTTTAATTAATTGAAATAAAGCTGAAAAAAATTAATAAAACATAAATATTAGGTGAAAAACTTTAAAGTTTAGAACTTAAACTTGAATTGTTGCAACTAACTGGAATAAAATAAGTTGAAGGTAAACTAATAAAATGACTAAAACAGAAATCAAATAAAAATTAAAGCTAAATATAATTTTATAACAAAACAAAATCTTAAAAATGACAAAAGCACATAACAAAATTACTAAAACTAAAATGAAGATGAAAACTGAAAACATAAAAATATAAATATTCATAAATATTACAATAGTAATACAAATTAAATACTAAATAATACTAAAATAACACTACAAAAAGGCAGACATAATTTAGAGAAGTCATTAACTGTAGAGAAAAGGGGGAACCTGTTGCAGTGATGGGGGAGTTCTGGGTGAACTGTCAAGATGCTCTTCCTGAAGTTTGTTATAGGCTATATACTGTAACTGTATTTTTAATAACTGTATTGTAAGTTTCTAGATGAGAAGGAAAGCAAAATGAAAAGGAGAAAGTGTGAAAGAGAATATTAAACAGGAGTGTTAGAAAACAAGGGAAGCATTATTAGGAGCATGCTGACTCTAATTGTTTGCGTGGTATTTTTCAAAGAATGGTGAGGCTGTTGAATACAATGTGTTTTATGTCTATATTATGGTGTCATTAGAACAACACTGACAGATCCTCTTACTTAGCGTTGTCCTTTAATTATGGCTTTGCTTGGGGCGAATATTGAGGCAGCTCAACTCACGGCCTTTAAAACAGACAAACATGCCATAAAGTATATTACAATGTTCCTTGATCAGTTCACCAGTAGGACATTTTTTATATCCTGATATCCTTCTTGGCTGTAACCTATCAAGAATAATAATCATAAAATAGTTGCTCTCAGTGAACTCACAAAAAGCCTAGACATGATTTAGCATGTATGGTGACGTCTGTGCTTGCAATCCAAAAATCCTCATGGCAACCAGAGGCCTTTGACACTGTGTTTAAATTATTTCAAAGTAATTTCTTGTAAATTCCACCCCTTGCTTATGGGCACTGATACAAGCACACGCGCATTTGTTTGTACACAAATATACTCTAGACCTCATGCATCAAGGTAAGTTAGACTAGACCTAACATACATCAGTCAAGAAGTTTGGAGAATGCTGTGGGAATTATGACATCATATTTATATTTTATGGTCATTCCATTATTTATTTTTTTAAATGTGTGCCATATAGATATATTTTAAAATAATAATAGTAAAAAAACAACTAAATAGAATTGACAGTTTTTTAAGCTAATTTAGCCATAACTAGTCTAGTGTTCAAGGTCATGACCTTAAGTGTCATGGCACTTTTATTAATGAGTTTACTATACAAAACCATGGTAACAGGGTTGACTATTTAAAATCGTCTCCTACTGACAATCCCCGTCCTTGAAGAGTTCAAATCTTTGGATGACTGTCATTATGTGAGTTATTTATTTATTTATTTTTGTGAAATTGGACATCTTTGTGATAATTATTAGATGTTAGTTAGAGTGAGTTGGGATGCAACGGTGTTGATGCATAACCTGGGGGCACAACTTCAAGTATTTTTGCTTAAACCTAAAATCTAACAAATATATGATTTCGAAACATTAGCTTTTATTTTCATAATCACTGTGCATATTTGATAATACAACAAGGGAGAAACACAGGGCGGTGGACAGATCAAAAGAGTTTCATGAAGCAAATCAACAGGGGAAAAAATTAAGTTAAAGGATTTTACTAATGTGTTTGGTGAACATGTCTAACACATAGTTAAAAGTCATGTTTTCATTGTTACAGTAGATATATTTTAATATATCCAAGGGACACAAAAAGCTTACTTATAGTGGAATGACTAATATGTAACTCCATCAAGGCAAATCTAAGACAATAACATACAAAATACTAAAAAAGGGACCAAATTTAATTTAGCCACAGATACATTCATCAATACAACAACATATAGGCTAAGCAATTTAAGAGATGTAGAGGCTAATTATTTGCACTGCTACTATAAATATACTGTTGAAGTTTTGTAGAAATATATCACATAATATGGTTTCCTTAGATTTAATCCTAGTCTTTGCTTTTTTCACACTTCATTTTAAAACTGTAACGGACCACTATATTATTTGTGACATATGCCTACCTTTATTTCTTCCCCTTCTCTTCTTGAAGCGACAGGAATGTTACTTTATTGACTATATCCTCCCGTTAAACTCACACAGCTTCCGTTTCGATCAGTCCGTCCAGTTCGAGCGCGCATCTGACCTGCAGCGGAAAGTTACTGTTGAATGCTGTCATAGCGCTTGTGCTCATCCTGCCAACGTCATTCATTTACATGTTGAGAGCTGCATGCATGCAACATAAATCGTCCAACGATTGGTTATGAGAAGCACGCATTCACACCGTCATCACAGCTTGTTTGTTCATGTAATTTTCGGGATCTCTGATTCCAGATGATGATTATTACGCAAGTGTTTGGGTGAGTTTAGAGACCTGGACCACTGAAGCTGATTATTAGAAGCGACAGGGTACAGAGAAAAGCTTAAACGTCCTCAGAAATATGCGTATACTTCATGTTACTGGTTAATGATATTATAGTAAAGCTATAGCGTGTTTAAATGTGTATTAGAGCTTGTCTAAACGAACACTGTTAAAAACTCAGCTCTCACATTGTTGGTTATGGATCGCTGATGCCCTCTGCTGCTGAAAGAAATTACTAACCATCACTACATTTTTCCCCACTGAGGTCTATATAGGCCAGGGATGGGCAACTTCGGTGCTGGAGGGCCACTGCCCTGCAGAGTTTAGCTCAAACCCTAATCCCTGATATAGGCATTTTGTTTGTTTGTTCATTTTGTGAGTTTTTGCTCATATTCCATGTGAATGGTGAATTTGTTCAGATTTGGGTCAGATCACTTTAAAGGAATAGTTTTGTTAGTTTTAGTGAAATTTGATGGAAATGCACTCACCCTCAGGCCATCCAAGATGTAGATGAGTTTGTTTCTTCATTGGAACAGATTTGTAGAAATGTAACATTGCATCACTTGCTCATCAATGCATCCTCTGCAGTGAATGGGTGCCGTCAGAATGAGAGTCCAAACAGCTGATTAAAAACATCACAATAATCCACAAGTAATCCACATGGCTCCAGTCCATTAATTACCATAATGTGAAGTGAAAAGCTGTGTGTTTGCAATAAACAAATTCATCTTTAAGATGTTTTTACTTAAAACCGTTGTTTCCTCTATCCATACTATTGCTTTCTCCAATGTGGTCTCGTCTGAATCATTCTGACGGCACCCATTCACTGTAAAGGATCCATTGGTGAGCAAGTGATGTAATGCTGAATTTGGCATTCAATTTCTCCCTAGCATTTGAAAAATGGAATCTAAATCAAACCAAACTATGTGAGTTACTGTATAATATTGCTGGTTTGACTGGACCACATTGTTTTACAGTGCACATACAAACTCCCTATGTTGTTTTTATCATGCTGTTTGCACATGCACTTTGTTTTACTCAATTACCGCCAGATTATTGTACTGAAATAGTAACAAATGACATATTTGATTGGCTGAAGTGTTTTTTTGTTTCTTGCAATGCACTTATTATTAGTGTGTAGTGTGTCCTTAGTCTTTTTAATCTCCACCACATGCTGTAAATATTTGTCAAAAATATATCATCAGATTTCCTTTATGCAATTAATTTAAATTGTTTTTCTAGTTTGTTTTTTAAATGCTGTATTTAGTGCTGTCTACAGTTTTTTTTTTAATGAAAATGTGTATTATGAGATATTCCCATAATTATTCAACTTGTTTTTAGCAGTGTGTTATCAGTAACATTTGGTCAATTTTATCTTAAATGCCAAAGGAAAAAAAATGAATATAATAATGTTACACTAAGACGTAATGAATGTGATTTTTTTTTTGTCCCCTGACTCAGAAATGTAAATCCCTTACAAATTATTATAATAAACAGAACACTTAGTACATCTTTTAATTACTACTAAGAGGCTGACTACATAACTACTGTAGCACAGACTAAATGCTTGTGTAAATCCAATATCTGAGCAACCACAAGAATGCATACAAATTAAATTTAAGGGCATTGCCTCTCCAGGAGAACATACTGTATATCACTCTGTGGCAATGGACACAGTCTTTCCTTTTTTAACCCTAAAGTACTAGTTTCTCTGTTGTTTTCAAGGCAGCCAAACGATAAACAACTTTTATCGTTTTTTTTTTCCACAACATCACATAACGGGGCTTTAAAGGGTCCAGCTTCCCTGCACTAGATTCACAAAAACGACTGCTACAGAAATAGGCACAATAAATTACTTCATAAATGAGCTTGTGGTGAAAATTATGGATTTCACTTAGTTTGTTAAAAAAATGTAAACAATTAATTAATGTACACGTGTACACACAAAGTTACCCTTAAATAGGGATGATATTCCAATGAAAGTGCACGCAATGGGTTCATAATGCACAGGCTAACCATAAACAGAAATAAAGTTACAAAGTACTAGAGCACAGACCACATTAAGCAAAAAAGTGTACCTACGTAGATCTACTCTGTTTTACCTGCTTCACAAATTGTCCCAACATTTGTTGAATTTCTGAATCGCTGGCAGACAATTAGTTTAGATAACATGAAAGGAACAAAAGTATATGATCTCTTATTTCAGCGCTCATTTCGTTCAGTGTTCTTAAGTAAATTTACGTTAATATGTTACTGAGTGAGAACCCACTCCGAACGATTCAGATTCATTTAAAATAACACTCAAACGAGTGATTCACTCATCATGCATCCGTTCAGATTAACAAATAACATTTTCTATCAGAATTGGCAAAGATCATGTGGTCAATCTCTCAGTCTGCTCAAATGTTGTATTTATTTATTTTGTGTACATGTTCACACAATAAATCAGAGACACAGAGCATAATTTCACTTTTTATTTATTTTGCAGCGACCAATTAAAGTGTTTCTCTTACAACATTAAATTGATTACTTTGACTATATATGTTAAAAGAAAAGTCATTGCTTATTAAGAAAATGATTTGTATTTGAAAATATGCATTGGGTATTTTGCAAGTCAATAGATTCCATCATACCATAGGTGCAAATGCTTTGGGGTGAATAAAACATATTTACACAATGTTTTCATTCTTTCTCAAGGCTGCAGAAATAAAGAATTATAATTGCAATTACATCGTTTTCACAAAATAACCTTAAAGAAACAAATGCCTCAATATGTGATACTGCCACATCAACTTTGTAATTCATTTTATGTGAATATATCTGTTTAAATGGTGATTGCTTGATCGCCAAGTCTGCACTATAAACAATATTCCCAAGATGACAGATTTACAATAAAGCACACTGACAACCCACACATAAATTATAATATTTTTTTTTCTATTATTCCATGTACATACATCATTTGTCCAGTGGATATAGTTTTTTAAAGTCTTTTAAGCATAAAATCTCTGTTAGCTAAACAATACTCTGTGATGTGTTCATAAGTATCAGCGCTTTTTTGCATAATAGTGTTACAATTCAGCTGGCTTATATGACAGTATAATAGAACACTGAAACATACGTTCAAAAGCATTAAATCAACTCAGCCATATCTCATGTTCATTTCCCCCCATTCTCATCGGTAGAGGAATCCATATGTCTTAGAGATGTTTCAGAGCTCACTATTGTCACCTCTTCAATTGTTGCTGCACTGTCAAAAAAACTCATTTTTTCAGTGTGTACCGTGTCTCTCAGCCTGCGAATAGAAGAAGCCGTCTCATCAGAAATGGGTTCTGCAGAGTCTCCTTCAAATACACGTGTTCTCTGTGTCACAAGTATTGTCTCTTTGTCATCATGTAAAGTTTCTTTCACAACATGCCTTTCCACCAATGTGTGCGCCCCACTTTGTACTCTGGTTTCCTCCACTGTCAACACTGAATCTGAGCCTAGTGTTACTTGTAAAGGCGAGGTGTGAATTCCATGCACATCTAAATTAGTAAGGATTGAGGCTTGCTGTGTTTCTGGTATAGCTTGTATGTTCGGTGTGATGACATGAATTTCCCCTGACATCTGTTTCAGAGTGTCCACTGAGGCTGAGGACATATCCAATAAGAAAGGGATGTTGACTTTCTCTGGCTGGTGAGGCTCCATTGATATCAGTTCACATCTGGCTGTGGAAGTCACAACATCATTCTGTACATCACTGACCCCAACGGTGGCAGTGGGTTCAGCATATTTCACTTTAACCTTTGTAGGTGAGGTCTGTGACAGGCCAGTCTGCTCAGTGGTTACTGTAGAACTTATATCTGCAAAAGCTTCAGATGACTTCAGTGACAGTGTCGGGCTGATGTTTTCCTCCACAGCCTCACTGAGTGAAATCTTCTCAGGTTCCTCGTGTGCCTTGCTTGATTCTTTCTCAACATCATCAAGCTTCTCAGCCTCTTCAGGCGGTTGGATAATTTCTTTCCCATCTGTTTTTGATGTTTTGGTTGGAGAAGAAAATGAGAACTTGAACCAGCCCCCTTTCTCTGTTTTTGCTTGTTCTTTGCTAACAGTTGCTTTCTGATCTGCTGAAGCCTCCAAATGCTTTTCACTTTCTTCAATCTTAGCATCAACCAACTTATCGCTTTCATCTGAAGACTGGCTGAATCCTAATTTTGGAAATTTAAATTTAAACTTTGATTTCTCCTGAGCTCCTTTGTCCTTATATTCTGCTGTTTCCTCAACTTTTGCTTCAGCCTCCTGATCTTGCTTAACAGATGGGTTGTCCTTTTGTGCTTCCATTTCCTCTATTGTTGGAACATTAAATTCAACCTCAAAGCCCCTGAGAACATCCTCAAGTGTAGGCATTGTAAATTTGGGTGATTTTCCAGGCCCTTGTTTATCATCTTTGGTTTCTATTTTAGCATCTGGAGCATTCGCTTTGGTAGTTGTGTCATCTTCTCCTTCCTGAGATTTTGTTCTTGAAATGCTGATCTTTGGCATTTTTATTGTAGGAAACTTGAATTTACTTGGGGAGCCTTTGTCCCCATCCAGTTTTTTAGCAGCAGTGTCTGGAAGCTGTTCAGTGGTTTCTTTAATTTCACCCTCTCTTTGTATTTCTTTAGACACGTGTACAGGCTTGTCTTCAATATTTAGGTCAGTGTTAGCATCTGGTACATCTACTTCTGCTACTTTTACTTTTGCATCAGATGTTTTTTGAGTTGAAATTCCAAATTTCGGCATTTTAAAAGTAGGCAATTTGAATTTACTTGGAGAACCTGAAACAACTGTATCATCTTTCAACTCAGTCTCTACCTCTTTTTTTTCAAGGCTGGAACTTTCCACTAGAGCCATGTCTACTTTTGGGAGACTTGCATCTTCTGCTTGCATCTTGATTTCTGGTTCAGTGATCCCAATTTCAGGTATTTCTGTCTTTACCTCTTTTGCAGTTACTGTCACCTCAGGACCTTTTACTTTGGGCAACGAAATTCCAAATTTTGGAAGTTTAAATGTAATTTCCTGTCCCTCTTGATTAAGCTCTTTTTCTTTTATATTAATATCAATAGATGGGGTTTCAGTCTCTGCAGTTTTGCCTTTGATGTCACCTGATGGATCCAACTTTGATGTCTCTATCTCATAATCCACAGAACTAACTTTAATTTCTTTGGTTTCAGAATCAGCCTTTGCTGCATCACTAGGGACCTTTGGAGTGGAGAGTCCAAATTTGGGTAATTTTATTGTTGGGAGTTTGAATTTTGTTGGCGAGCCAAATTGTGGACCTGTTATTTCAGTTTTGCCCTCTCTTTCACTTTCTTCTATTTCTGTATTGCCCCCTGGCAAGGATATATCTGCTGTCGTTTCAGTGGCTTGAATATCTTGGGACTTGCCATCTGATTTTGAAAATCCAATATTTGGAAATCCAAAGCTTGGTTTCTTCATTTTTAGTCCCTTAGAACTCAAATCAGTTAAACCTGCTGGTTCCTCAACCTCAACATCTTTTTCTGTACCAACTTTTTTTACGTCAGTTTTAGAAACCTCTGCTTTTGAAACACTTATGTCAAATTCTGGACTTTTCGATGCTTGTAGAGAAATTCCAATCTGTGGTAGTTTGATTTTACTTTCTTCTACTTCAAGTTCAGCACCTTTAGCCTCCACATCCACTTCCACTGATCCTTTGGGTAACATTAGCTCTTTCTTGTCTATAGATAGTGCATCCCCTGACATTTTCACTTCTGTTTCAGTCAGAGCTTTCTTAAGCCCTTGGTCACTGTCTGGACATTTAATTTTGATTTTACTTTCTTCTACTTCAAGTTCAGCACCTTTAGCCTCCACATCCACTTCCACTGATCCTTTGGGTAACATTAGCTCTTTCTTGTCTATAGATAGTGCATCCCCTGACATTTTCACTTCTGTTTCAGTCAGAGCTTTCTTAAGCCCTTGGTCACTGTCTGGACCTTTAATTGTTGGAAGAGCAATCCCAAATTTTGGAAGCTTAAATTTGCCCTCTTGTTGCTTTTTATCATCTCCCTTAATGTTTATCTCAATGGATGGATCTTCTACTGTTGGCCCTTTCATTTCAACACTTGACACTTCTCCTGACATGTTAAACTTCTTATCGGGAAGGTTTACTTCAGGAACTTTGATGTCCACATGTGCCGTAGGTATATCAACTGTATCCTTTGATGCTTTGGTTCCAAATTTTGGGAAACTGATTGTTGGAAGTTTAAATCTTGTTGGAGAGCCAAAAGTGTCCTCCTTCAAATAAAGATCTTGTTCTGGTAATTTAATGTCTGCAGATTGCTTTGAAACATCAACATTTCCCACTGATGTGCCAATGTCAGCTTTGGGTAGACTCACATCAACTTCAGGAGCCTTAAGGTCTGGTTTTGAAAATCCCAATTTGGGAAGTTTCACTTTCAGCCCTTTGGAGTCAACTTCAACTTTAACTGTTTTCCCCTCAATGGTCACATTTTGAATTTCAACACCAGGCTGTTGTACATTTACATTTTCTTTACATAGCAGGCCAGTCTCTATGTTTATTTCTTTACCCTCCATCTCTATCTCCTTTACTTTTGGCATGCCAATTCCAAATTTTGACAGTTTGAACTTACTCCCCGTCCCATCATCATCAATCTCCTTGACCTTAATGTCCACATCAGCAGATGGCCCTTTAATATCTATGTTTGTTTCAGTGTCAGTGGTTTGTACCTCTCCTTTTTCTGGGAAACTGATTTCAGGTTCTTTGATATCTACTTCAGCTGCTGGAATATCAGCTGTAGCTTTTGGATATTTGAGTCCAAACTTTGGAAGGTTGATTGAGGGCAGCTTAAATTTTGTCTGAGTTGTTGTATCTCCTTGTTTTTTCACTTCATCTGTGATGGTGATTTCTGCATCTTTGTCTTCAACAGGTATGTTGCCCTCTTGCATAGACATATCTGCCTTTGGTTGAATGGTATCAACATCTTGCCCCTTAATATCTGTCTTTGAAAACCCAAATTTTGGCAGTGAAAAGCTTGGCTTCTTCAGTTTCACATCATGCCCTTTCAAGTCAACTTCAGACATATCTGCTTTGCCTTCAATGGATATGTCTTGAACGTCAACATCAGGTTGGGGTAGTATTACTTTTCCTTCTGCTAGATGAACATCAGTTTCTCTTATTGTGGCATGTATATCAGTCTCTATTTCTTTTACATCTAATTCAGTTTTTTGTATTTGACCTGACAACTTGATGTCTGGTTCATGAACAGTAATTCCTATTCCTTTTATGTCCTTATCTGCTGATGGTAAACTTACCGTACCCTTTGAAGTTTTGACTCCAAATTTTGGCAGGTTAACTTCTGGCAGTTTAAATTTGGTTGGGGAACTAACAATCATTAGATCTTTCTGTTCAGCCTCTCCTCCTGGAAGTGTGACTTGTGCTGTTTGTTCTTTAACAGGTACATTGACCTCTGGTATGGATACTTCAGCCTTTGGTACACTGATATTAACTTCCGGAGTTGCTGTGTCTGGTTTAGAAAACCCAAACTTGGGGAATGGAAAGCTTGATTTCTTCACTTTTACTTGCAGTCCTTTGGAATCAACCTCAGGCATATCTGCACTCCCTTCAACTTTAGCTTCACTTTTGGGTGTCTGTACTTCTAATTTCACATCAGGTTTAGAAATGTCTGTTTTTATATTTGTTCCCTCTAGCTCTGAATCTGCCACATTAATGTCTAATGCTACTTTTTGTGATTTAACACCAAATTTCGGGAGGCTTATTGACGGGAGTTTAAACTTTGTTGGAGATCCAAAAATTGTTGAACCTTTTTGGTCAGACTCCATCTTTGACACTTTAATATCCACATTTGCTTCTTCTAGGTCCATACTGCCTTCTGGTATGGGGATATCAGTTTTTTGAATACTTACATCAACTTCAGGGGCTTTTACTTCTGGTTTTGAAAACCCAAATTCAGGTGATGGCTTTATCTGCACATCTAGAAATTTAGAATCTTGTTCTGGTGGCTGAACCATCCCCTCAGTTGTTATCTCTGGCTTTGTTATATGAATTTGTTTTACTTCAGTTATATCATCTGTCTTGGATGTACTTAAATCAAACCCTTTTACTTTAGGAAGGCCAATACCGAACTTTGGCATCTTAAACTTTCCTCCCTGTCCTCCAAGTTCAGCATCTTCAACATTTAAGTCAACACTTACAGATTGACCCTCTGTGGCTAGATGAGGTCTCTTTATATCTACTGATGGGGCTTCACCTGATATTTGTGTATCTGGACCAGTCACTTCAGGTCCTTTAACAGCTATATCTACAACTGGCATAGTTTTCTCTTCCTTCGTAGCTTGTCCTCCAATCTTTGGGATGTTGATTGAGGGGAGTTGAAATTTTGCTGTGGCACCGAGAGCTGTTGTATCTTTTTGATCATCCTCAACATTTGACACTGTGATATTCAAAATTTGTTCTTTTATTTTCAGATCACTTTCTGGTTTAGAGGTATCAACTTGTGCAAGACTGACATCAATCTCTGGGGCCTTGATATTTGATTTAGAAAATCCAAATTTAGGAAGTGAAAAGCCTGTTTTTTTCATTTTCATACCTGTGTCTTTTAAGCCAACTTCTTGATCAATTTTGCTTTCTAGTGTGACTTGTGATACTTCCCCAAGTTTTGCCTCTGGTAAAGAAATATAGCCTTCTGCCTTTGATATTCTGGCCTCTGTAAGTGACAGGGTATATTGATCTCCACTATCTACCTTTGTCTGATCAGCACTGATTGAGGGTTTCTTCAACTCTTGACCGGGCACATTAGAGTCAATTTTGACGTCTGATGGTTCTACTGATGTGATTAAATCTTCAGTCTCCAAAGTAATTTCCTCACCCCTCAAATCCATTATTTCAGCTTTTACTTTGGAAGATGAACTTCTGAATTTCGGTAGTTTGAAAGTAGGAAGTTTGAATTTGATCTGTGACCCTCCCATGGTTGAATCATCTTTTAACATCTCTGTTGTCTGAATTTTCAAGTCAGACTCAAGATTCACATCCACTTCACCTACTGCCATAGATGTATCGCCCCTCTCAACATTAATCTCTGGAGCTTTAATGTCTTGTTCAGAAAATTCATGCTCTGAGCTTGGCATTTTTGGCATTTTCAATGTTACCTCCATTTCCACAGATGCTTCAGGTATGTCTGCTTTTCCTTCAGCACTCTCTTTGTCATGTTTCAGTGGAACCTCTGATTTTTCTGCATCTGTTCTTGATGCACCCTTTTTAAATTCTGGTCCCTTTAGCTTTTGAAATGAAAATTCAAATTTGGGCATCATAAATCTACTCCCTTGACAACTAGGATCAGTGTCTTTAGTTTTAATTTCAGCATCCACCGGTAGGGTTTCTAAAGTTGATTTAGATGGTTCTATATCTTGTGTTCCTGTATCTTTATCCTGTGATGCAACTGCTGATGCTGCCTTTATTTCTGACTGTGCATCATCCTCAGATTTTGCAACAGACTCTTCCCCAGTCTTTGAAATGGAAATATCAAATTTAGGGAGAGAAATTGTTGGAAGCTTGAATTTAGATGGAGAACCAGAAGTACTTTTGTTTTTCAACTGGACTTCAACCTCTGGAGCAGGAAAAGTCATTTCAGTCTCTTTGATCACAGTGTCAGGCACAGATATTCCTTCTTTTTGAAGACTGGTGTCAGCATCAGGGATCTTAGTGTCAGATTTGTAAAAACCAAATTTCGGAAAATATATTTTACGTTTTTTAAGTTTGAATTCACTCTCCTTTTCTTTAGCCTCCAGGATGACTTCATCTACTGAACCTGAAGGAAGGTTGACTTCCGCCTCAAGATTACTGGCTTGCATTTTCAAACCTTCTATAGCTGTCTCTTGATCAAGACCATGGCCTACAAGGCTCATCTTAACCTCTGGTTTAGAAAATGCATAATCTGAAGACAATACTTTTTCTTTTTTCTTTTCAGAGTGTTCATCAATAGCCTTTTCCACCTCTGGGGTAGATACATCAACTTCTGGTTTGGAAACACTGAGAATAATATGTGGGGTTTTCATTTCAGGTAATGATGGCAACTCTGTAGGCAGCTCGGTTTCTAGTGCTTTAATTTCCATGGCAGGTTCATCTTTGGTGACTTCAGGCATTTGATTGTCAGAGACTGCATCTGTTGATTTTGGAAATGAGACACCAACTTTTGGGAATTTAATTGTTGGACGTTTAATTTTTGTTGGAGATCTTGGATCTTTCTCAGCCTGATCAGAATCTGCATTTGATTCTCTGGGGTCTATAGTTGATTCTTCTTTATCCACACTATCAGTTGGCTTGTGGGCTTCAACCTTTGGGAGGCTAATGCCAAATTTAGGCAGTGTAACGGTGACCTCTTGTTCTTTGAGCTTTGTTTCTTCAACCTTCATATCTACACTAACAAATTGACCTTCTGTAGTCTCAAAAGAATCCTTGATATCACCTGTTGGTGCATCATCTTTTAGTTGCATGCTTATTTGTGTTTCTGGAAGTCTTTCATGAGGTTCTTCAGTATCTATATCTACAAATGGCATGTCTTTCACTACCTTAGATGATTTTCCACCAAACTTTGGTAAGCTGATAGAGGGAAACTTTACTGGTGTACCACCATTTGTTAGATCTTTATGTTCAGCCTCATCCTTTGAAATTGTGAAGTGCACACCAGGCTCTTTTATTTCCACAGAAACTTCTGGAATTGATAAATCAACCTGTGGAAGACTAACATCAACGCCTGCAGCTTTGATGTCTTGTTTTGAAAACGCAATAGCTGGAATTTCTTCAGCATCATGGCCAGTCAGGCTAGCATCAATATCTGGTTTAGAAAATGACATTTCTTCAGATGATTTTATTTCTTTTTTCTGAAAACCTTTGATTTCTGCCTTTCCCTCGGGCAGAGACAAGTCAACTTCAGGTTGGGATACACTGAGAGTCATTTCCACGCCTTTCTTGTCAGAAAGTGCTGTTGCTTCTACAGGTAGTTTGGCTTCGTCTGTGCTGACATCAGGCATTTGAATATCGCCCCCAGCATCAGTTGTCTTGGGAAATGAGACTCCAAATTTTGGAAATTTAATTGTGGGAAGTTTAAATTTTGTGGGATAATCTGTTGAATCCTTGAACTCAGCCTCTACATCTTTGGTCTTACTTTCAACATCTAGTTCTGTCCCATCAGCATCATGTAAAGAGCCCTGTGCGGCTGGGAGAGTTATGTCAGCATCAGATACTTTAGTATCTGATTTAGAGAATCCAAATTTGGGAAATGATATTTTCCTTTTCTTCATTTTAGACTCTGCTACTTTCATTTCAGCTTGTGGAAGTTCAGATGGCTCCACTTCAGTTTTTCCACTAACCTTGATGATGGATTTTTCAGATTCATCTGGTAACAGGCCACCTTCTTCTGTCTTCTCTTTTGGCATTGAGATACCAAACTTGATCAGTCTAAATCCACTCTCCTCTTGAGCATCCTCAATGGCTTCAACAGCTTCAGGCTTTGAGAGCCCAGTTTCCTCCTGTTTTGATTTTCCCTCTGCCTTAGGGATTTTTATTTTTGGAACAGAAACATCTATGCTTGGCATTTTTAATTTAGTTTCTACACTATATGCTTTGGGATCAGTCTCAAATGTTCTCTTCTCAGAATCTAATACAACCTCTATTATGTCATTTTCTTGCACTGTAACATCCTCTTTTGTAGTGACTTCAGCTGTTCCTTTCATAGATTTTCCTCCAATTTTGGGCATTTTTAATTTATGCAGTTTCTTTTTTTGTGGAGAGGAATCTGTGCCTTTGCTTTTGATTTCAGCCTTCAGTTCTCCGTCAACATCTTGTTTTGAGGTTTCCTTAACAATAGCAGTGCAAACATCATGATGGAGCATTTGATCACTCTCTATGTCATGTGCTTTTTTAGTTTCATGCTCAGGTGCACAGCTTTCACCTTTTTGAGATTTTTTAAATGTTGCTTCTTCAGAAGATTTTTTGATATTGTCTTCTGATATTTTTGCTTCAGTTGTCCTCTCCTTGATTGTGCCACTATCACTTTTAGGTGATGTGGCCTTTATTGGTAATTCAATCACAATACCTGGAAAGCGAATGTCAGGTGTCATGATTCCAAAACTTGGCATTGATACCTTTGATTTCTTTGATTTCTTTTCATGCACATTTTTGTCAGCTTTGATATTTGTATCAGTATAGTCTTTCACAGCCTCGTCTTGAGTGTCTGTATCTTTGGCTATTATGCTTTTTGTTGGTTGAACTGATTGTTCAATGGCTTCTATTCCTGGTATTTCAATGTCTTCACGCTTTGGAAGTTTGAATTTTACATCTGGAGATGTACTTATCTTATCATCCCTTGCTAACATTTTGCCAGTTTTGGGTTGGTGGTCAGCAAGTTTAATTTTTGATAGGTCTGTTTTGCTCTTGATTATAACCATTTCATCAAGATGCAATTGTTCAACTTTTGGTAATACGAAGGTTTGATCTTTTGTAGCAACAGGAGAAAGTCTCTGCTTTTCTTTATCCATTGTGTCAGGCAGATTAATGTTTATTTCTGTGCTCATGCTCGAAATTTTACAAGGGGATCCTTTAGGTGTCATGCCAGTCTTGTCTGACTTAATTTCCATGATTGTGATCTCTCTCTGTACAAGGACTCCAGTGATGTCTCTCTCAGGTAATTTGAAGGCAGGAAATTTTGATACTGCATCCTTTACATCCTTAAAATTAAACTCTTCTGCTTCCGCCTGAGCTTGCTTTTTTCCTGCTTTTGATATTTTTATTATCTTCTCAACTTTTTGTTCTTTAATTCTAGGAGGCTTAACCTTGGCTTTTGATCCTATGTCCTCCATGCCAGAAATCTCAATTTCCTCTCGTTTCAGGAGAGGCACTTTGGTTGGGTCTTTCTGTCTTACAGTTATTGATTCTTGGTGGTCGAATTCAGAGACATCCACTTTAGGCAGTTTAAAATTTGATTCAATGTCCATGCTACCTCCAGTACTCTTCCTGCTTCTGTCCACATCCAGAGCATGTGATTTTGGCTGGGATATAACAGGAGTTGGAGTGATTGGTTTCTTTGTGTCTGTTGAGGACATATCCTCTCTTGTTTGAATCTCACAAGTGAAAGTGTCTGATGTAAAATCTAGTTTGTTTACTGCATTTGAAAAATGACTCTTTGATGTGGCTATGTCTGCCAATGGTCCTCTGGTTCGAATCCCATAACTTTCTGTTTCTAGAATGTTTCTGTCTTTCTTTTCCTTGTCGCTGCCAATTCTTGGTGATTTGCTTATTGGTCCTACCTCTGGCATGTCAAGAGAAACATCAACTTTAGCTATGGTCATGTCTGTTTTTCCTGACTCTTGGGTCTTTTCTAATATCTCTTTATTTATTGGTTTGCTATCGGAATCCACTTGATGTCTAACCGGTTCCGTTTGTGATATTACATTAGGACTGTCCAAAATATTGTCGAATGTTGATGGATCCAAAGTTCTCATTCCACTTGTGGAGGATTTTAATTGGCTCTCTGTTTCTATTTCATATTTATCCTTTCCTGGAATGCTAACCCTCAGTTCTGATTTCTCTCTCCTTTCTTTGCCATCATCTCCAAGAGCGACTGTAATATCAGTAGTCTTTAATGTGGTGTCCACACTGATGAGCTCAACCTTATGCAGTGATTCAGTCGCTGGCAAAGTGGGGAATGTATATTCATTTCCTGTTTTAGTTGAGTCAATATTTTCAGCTTCATTCAATATTTTAGGACTCTCTATCACATTAGTCATTGGCACTTGCTCTTCGACTATATTCATAATAATTTGGTTGTCCAAGACCTTCATATTGTCTGTTACAAGCGCCTCTTCGTTTTCTTGGGTTTCTTCAACAGATTTGCTCCTGCGGCCTGCCATATGCTTCTTAGGTTTCACTTTATGCTTCTTTTTCTTGTCTTTTCCATCTGGGGATTTTAATGGAGACTTAAAAGGAGACTCTGTGTCACTTGTTGGCGGACTTATCTCTAATTTTCTCTGTTCCTCTGCTTCTGACGTGCTGTGAGATCTTTTAAAATTCGCCCTGCGACCTATGCTAAAGGTAGGGAATTTGGGCCAAGAGATGCGATCATGTTGCTTTTTTGTCTTTCTTCGACCTCTCATCTCTGGTCCGCTACCTTCCTCTACTTGCTCAGCCTCCTCACCCTGCAAACATTGATGAAGCAGATGCACAGTAATGTCAATGAAAGCTCAGAAGAAGCTTTGCAGTATTATGTAATTAAGAATATAATGAACAGTATTATAATTACAATGGTTATATCTGGCCTCTCTGTCTCAGCATCTTCCTGGGTTCTTGGAGGTGGTTTGCGTTTTAGACAGAATGCCACTTTATATGGTTGAGCATGCTCAAGAATCTGGAGGGCGTCTTCATATGACACATTATCAAAGTATACTGTAGCACTAAGTATTTGATCACCTGAAAGGCCAGATGGAAGGGCAGAAATGAGGACGCAAGTGAAAAGATGGAAGATTAACAAATTTAGCTGCATTCTAGCTTCAGAAATGTTCTGTAATGTGCAATAATAAAAACCTCACCTTCTTTCACACTTAAATGCTTTGAGGCAGGTGACTCTGGTTTTACTTCCTTGATGAAGATGCCATCCTTTCCTCCACTTACAACCAAACCCTCAGCACAGACTTCTTTTACAGTTTTCACTATTATTTCTGACTGATCACTTTGCATATCCTGAAACAGAATGCAAAGTAATTTAGAAATCGAGAACATGTTTTCCCAGTATTCACATTCCTAATCATCTGTATTCTTCATTAGAGAGAACTTTTGGTGTGTCAGACCTCTGTTTGATTCATCTTGGCAGAGGAACGCTTGTCAAACAGAGAGCCGAAACCAATCCTTTTGCTTTTTTTGGAACTTTTGGTGGGTGAGTCATAGAAATCACCTTCAACCTGGCAAAATAGCACGTGGTATATTATATAGATAATAGTTAGATGATCAAATACAACATTATACAGTTCTGAATACTAGGGTTATTATACTGTGCATAGTGTTAAATAGTTAAGATAAGAGTGTTTTCTAATGTAGCGCTCACCCGTTTTGCGTATTTCTCTGTGGTGGGGAATTCCTCGACAGGAGAGGAACCCTGAGGACGAGGTCTTTCCCCCTCTAAAACTTCAGGCTCCTCACATACCTATTATATTAAATACCAATTAAAGACTGTTTAAACAATTAATCAATTTAAAACAGAGAGACCTATAACACATGTATATTTTATATTTGCTGAATGTGCTATACTGGAGTGATACTCACTAAATCATCATCTGTGTCTTGTTCTGGTTCCTTCAACCTTCGCCCTTCTCCTGTTGTGATGAAAAAAACAGAATAAGCACTTAAAGGTCAAGCTCCTATATGTGGATACAGGTTTCACATCTGACTGGTAAGCAAAAAGTAAATTTCAGGTGCATTACGTTGTCTGTACATATGACCTAAATTTAAGAATCCATCCTAAATGCCTAAGCCTGTTATATAGTCATGCATGCAATCTATACTTTATTTATATGCTGTTTTATAGTTTGCACTAATTGGAGAGTCAGTGGGGGATCTATTTTGTAGGGATATATTCTATTTTTGGGATATATTTTTTTATCTGTAAAGATGACAGATTCTAAGGCTAAATTTCTGTGTGAAAGATTTCCTGGCAGATATTCCCACAGGATCCACACAGTCTACCTGCTTCTGTTGCTTCCTGTAAAGTGAAGCACTCTATTGATCTGAAGGGGTTGGCTTACACTGCCTGCAATAAGACCAACATGGAAACATGGGCTTCAACAGATCCGAAAAAGAACAGTGAAAAAATGGTTACAAATATCTGCAGATGGGGTATAATTTGAAAAATACAAATAATATGTTTCAATTTGACGGCATGAAGAAATTATTCCCTTGCACAATTTTTCAAATAGTTGTATGAATTTAACAATATTTCTGTCAAAAGTGGCTGAATATAAGTAGCTCACAAAGACGAAGAGTACAACGAAATAGTCATTAATTCAATAATCCACAGGAGATGGGGTATAAACACAGGGAACAGATCCAATTTACACACTAGACAGGACTAAGAACTGAACAAAACAGGGAGCACATATACAATAACTAAATGAGGGAACTAATGAGATAATTGATTAACACCAGGTGAACTAAAAGACTAATCAAACACACAGGAAAACAAGGTCAAAGAGGAAACACAATGAGACAGACCATACATGTAACAATTATACAATAGACAGACATACTTAAATATTGCTGATACCAGCAGCAAAAATACTTTAATGGCATCCTTTCTGCTGTGAAAGGCATACATTTCCAGTTTCCCAAAACAGAATGTACTTAAAATAAAAGGATTGTTTAGGTACATTTTTTATAAGCCTCACTCTGCCCTGGCCATTAACCTGCACTCCGTCAAGCACTTATCCAGGCATCAGGTCTAGATGGCATTGAAGCACACTGGAGATTTATGTACAGTATGTATATCATGTCGCACATGAACAGTATTACACCAGCATCATCTTTTTCAGTTTCTAATGATCTGACACTAAACTTGCGAATGCACCAACGTATAGACAGTTGGGGAAAAGCAATGGCAAATGTGCATTATCCACAGTTAAGATTATAAGCAAAGTAAACAGACTTATTAAAGGGAGTAGAAAACTCTTCCCATATCTTTTGTTGATGTCAAAGACTTTGAAAACAATCCAACTCAATGGTATTCTGGTGATTAATATGCCATTCATCAATCATTCTGTCATTATGCTGATGCCAGCATTGACATTTTCCATGACACACCTTTTTAAAAAAATTAAAAACAAAATTACGCAAGTTTTGTGTTGACCACAATTAGGCTGATTAAACTCTGCTTTTAACCACAGGTAAAGCAATATTGAACTTGAAAGGGGTTTAGAACCACTTTTGCTGGGTGAATTTCAAACTCTAATAACTGAATGGTACAGTGAGAAATAAATAAGCTCAACTGATAAGCAAGAGCAAGAAAAGCTGTTAATTAAACAGATCACATACTGTGTTCCTTCACACAGTGATGCTGACAAAACCAATAGTTTGAATAACCTGATGTAAACTGATATGCATAGGAGAGATCAGTGATTGTAACACTTTGTTTCTGACTGAGATTAACTGAGGGGTTTGGTTTTAACATATACATGTATGATGAACAAGCAGAAGAATGACATAGCTGTGGTTTTGATGTTTGATATGTTGTGGTGCAAATCAACAAGTTTCAACAAGCTGTCTTTTCTGGCTGCTATTGTAGTTAAACAGGTTTTAGATGGGGGTTTTTTTCAGTTGCTATAAAGCTTTATAATATCTGTCCAAAACCAACACAGTGAATGGAACAGGCCTAAACAACAGGCCTTACTTTCTTCAAGTTTTTTTTTTTTCTTAAATGCTTTCAGGCTTCCCACCCCTGTCAGGTATAATGAGGCTGTTTGTTTGTTGGTATATGTAATAATTACTGAATAAAATGCATTAAATTCTTGAAAGACCATTGTCCATCATAAGTTATTTAAAATAAAATCAATAAACCAATTTGCAATCATCTCTGGGCTCCTATACGTCATATATTTCTATTAGGATTACAAATTAAATATGTGAGCTCTGCTGTAGGTGATGTAAAAACAGTTTTAGCTTGTGACTGAATATTCAGGAAACATACTATACTATGCACAACTTACTGCTTTTAAAACATGCTGTTTACTTCAGTATGCTACTGAAATATCTTGAAGTACAAACACTAAAAAGAATCCAAGTGCCAATATGAAAATAGCCTAGTTTAGCTGAATTATAACAAAATTAAATCTAAAAAAAATGCTTTGTATGTCCATGTTGCTGCATTTTAATTACAATGATGCAAAGTTCTTCGCCAGGTAAACATTAAAGGTTAACAATGATGGGTTTGCACTTACCTGATCTGTGGTTTACTTGCAGAAATATATGTTTCACTGTTTTCCAGATAGTAATTTACCAAGTGCACAGCATGCATTGACAGGACTGTTTGTGGGTAGTTGTTAGTTTTTGTGGAGAAGATGAAGGGCCCTGCCCTTTCTGTAGACTTCTAAAGGTATGGCACAACCCTGTTTTAGGGCTGTGGTTCAAGCTCCTGCTAATGCTATTGTGCTGAAGTACAAACATCTGAATGTGTAACAATGCTTGCACACATTCACAAATGAATATAAAAGAGAGATCTTGAGATTTTTAAGCAAAGGAATCAGGGCAAAGATTTTGTTGTAAGGGTGTTTATGTCCTTCTGTTCTCCAGTGAATTTTGCCTGTGTTTGTTTAGCTTAAATTTGAGTTGAAGGAAATAGTTATGACATTAGTGTACAGTGGGAAATTAATGCAGAAAGAAGACAAGATCTCATGCAGTTCAGAGCTTTTCATTGTGCTTTTTTGCCAAAGTAAATAAACAATAAGACTTTAAAGAATAGATCAGTTTACTCAATACAAAGCAAGCTGTCAATCACATGATGTTTGTGCAGTATGTGTGTGTGCACATGGCTGACTGTGTGTTTAAATACCATTTCAAAGTCCAAGAACTCCTTTTATGCCCGCATAATTATCATTTGGCTTCATATTTGTTATAAAATCACCATGCAACCGATTTAGCAAGCAACAAACCACTAATAGAATGAAACCTGAATTATAAAAAAAAGCTTATTATATTTTTAAGCACAATCATTGATCCTTAACTGAGATGGGCATGAGTGCAACTTGAATTGTCTGAGAAATTCAGTGTTAATACATTTGTAACGTAGTTACTCCCTAATAAAATTTTTGCTCACAGGGTGCTGGTCAAAAAGTGATAAAGTATTTAATGTATGTGACTATACTGTGACATAGTTTTACAGTATATAATTTGTATGACTAGGATAGGAAATAATGTAATACTACTTATAAAGTACAGAAAGTGCATGCACACATATATTCTCTTTGTAATTTTATGATGTTATGTAGGACTACAATAAAACTGAACTTAGTCTGAAGCTGCTTAGTCTGATTTTAATGCATGTTGTTATCATTATGACTAAAGTAACTAGTGTTCACTGAGTTAAATATGTGTGTCTCATTGTGGACAGAGTCAGGTATATTATAATAACATTCATTATTTCCAAGTGAACATGGGATTTTGCTTTATTTATATATATATATATATATATATATATATTATTGGAGTGAGAGAGGAGAAGTGGGACCACTTTTACAAGGAAGCTCTGCAAAGCAATATGAATATGAAGGTGCATGTGTTGTCCATTTCAGTTTATTCCTATTCTTGTGGATGTGGATGTGTTGATTAAACAATTACATCATCAGATTTGAACAATGAGCCTTTAGATATTGTTTAGGGGTGTGGACACTCACAGCACTGTGACTAGCTGTAGCTAAATCATAGTTTTCCTGACCCCAGAACATAGTTTTCAATGGGGGCCAAAGGTCATTTCATCTGCTGGCAAAAACTTAGTCTGCTGCACTGAGTGTCAGGGTTCTGTCACTTCAGTTTAGTGTAATTCATGGTTTTGTGACGGAGCCCTGACACTCCTGTCGTTGTTTTCATGTGAGCGTGCGGCTTCGAGAGTGCTCGAGCCATGCGCTCTCGTTTGCGTGTCCTGTTTCATGTTGGAGCGTGGTGTTCAGATCCCGGCACTCATGTCTTGTTGAGTTTCAATTTCGTGTCGGGGTCCGGACACTCACGCTCCATGTTCTGTCTGTTGTGGGAGTGTGCGGTCTCGAGTTCGCTCGGCCGCGCGCTCTTCTGTCCACGTGTGTTGTGTATTGTGTAGCACGCGGTTTGTGTTCAGCCGCATGCTTTTCTTGTTGTCTTGTGTTGTTGTTGCACGCAGCTCGTGTTATCGGTTGTGCTGTGTAGCACGCAACTTGGTTTTTGCTGGCTGCGTGCTGTCTTGTCTTGTGTGAACACGCGTCTTATGAGTTTTCTCATTAGCTGCGTGTTCGTGTCTTTTTGTTCAAGCACATGGCTTGTGATTTGTTTTGCTGGCCATGTGCTTGTGTTTGTTTTGTGTGAGCACGTAGCTTTTGTCTTTGTTTCCTGTGTGCCATGTGCTCTCATGTCAATTATCTTGACCCCACCCATCTTGTTACCTGATTATTGGTTAATTTGCCCCACATGTGTTCCCTCGTTACCCTTCTCATTTGCTCCCTATTTATTGTCCTTGTGTTTGCAGTCCTGTGCCAGCTCGTCGTCGAATGTTCCCTGTCGTGTGCCTTGTACTGCCATCAAGTCAAGTTGCCAG